GACCTAGTTCTTCAACGCTTTGTGCGAAGATTTCTTTTTCTTTCTTTATCAAGTCTTTTGCCTCCTTTTGTTGTTTGTCGTTTAATTCTTCGCTAACTTCCATCTTTTCGATTTTTTCTTCGATCGATTCTTCTTCATCTTCCAACGACGCAGTAGGCAACTCTTCCACGTAAGACAAATATGCAGCAGGGCTTTGAACGTCTTGCCAAGGATTAAGGTATAATTCCGAATCTTCCTTTTCGCTTTGCACTTCTTCCGAAAAATATCTGTCTGTTTCCTCAACTTCTTCGTTTTCATAGATAAGTTGGTCGAACAAATCGTCGTCACTATTTGAGAGTTCTTCGGGGTCTTTCTTTTTTTCATTTAACAATTTCCTCGGTCCGCTATTAGTGATGGGTACTTCGACAACTCTTCCTAAGTATCTTAAGATCAACTTTTGTTCATCAAAGTGGATACGAGCCCTCACTTTTTTGAACCAATCATTGCCCAACAGCAGGGTCTAGTCTACCGATTCAATTACTTGTAGCAGGCTTGGAATGGCTAAGTCTTGAACCATAATTTTTGTATTTTTAATTCTTCCCAGAGTTCTATTTCTTACTCCAGTGGCGGTTACTATAACTGTAGTGGAACTTTCTTCTATTTTAAGACCAAGTCTATCCATTAGTTTTTTCGTTATAAAGCTTGCTGCGGCACCCGAGTCTAAAATCGCAACGACCGGGTTATTTTGGATTCTTATATTACACCTTGCAGCAGTGGTTCTTTTTTCTCCTTCATCTACGTAATTTGTTTCCTCCGTTATTAATGGTCTTCGAAGGGCTTTTGCCAAGTTCCTTCTTTGATTTAGGTACTGGAGCATTTGCCCAACTGTTGCACTAACACGGGTATTAAGAATATCATCAGCAATGTTGTAAGCGACGATCGAATCTACTATCGAAGGACCTCTTTTTCTTCTCGGGGCTCATGCCGGAGCAAGTATGTCATTATCTTGCATTAAATCATCATCATCTATTAGAGGGTAAGTTTCTTCTGAGTCTCTTGGTTGGGTATTAACAGTTGTTTTATTTCTTAACCGTCCTTCCCATTGCGATTCTGAATTAGGTTGAAATCGTTCTCTATTTTCTTTATTATAAGGTTGGTATCTATTATCGATAGTATACATCTCTCTTTCATAACTATAGCCATCATTAACTCCACTGTAATGTGCTTCGGTTTCGCAGTTTGTGATCCTAGTTGGCTGAGTGGATTTTTGTACTTGTGGTTCTTTTTCTGAAAGGCAATCTCTTGCGTAGTGGCCTTTTTTGCCACATTTAAAACAAGTTACCGTATTATTCATCCTATTAGTCGCTCTAGGTCATGAGGTACTTGATTCAACTTGGGTTGTTAACAAAGCTGTAAGTCTGGCGTAGTTGATACTCATGCTTTGGACTTGCTGCGATAGTTCGCTTATATCTTTTTCCAACTTATCCTTTCTTCCTTCTTGTTCTTTCGTCGCCGTATTTCCATAATAAGCTCCAGCTTCGGTCTTTTTGGCTGTAGTAATAGCTTCTTCTAAGTTTTTTGGGTCTTTTATGGTGACTAATGACGCTACTTTTCCTTGAAGACCTCCGATAAACATTCGCATGACGTATTCTTGAGGTAAGGCAGTTCCAGAATTTACCCTTTTTAACAATTGTTTAAATTTATAGCCGTAATTACCTACGCGTTCACCTTCCTTTTGTTTTAGGGAAGTTAATTCGACCTGCCATCGATGTCTCCGTTCGAAAGTGGCAAAGTATTTTAAAAATTCTGGCACGAAGCTTCCTTCTTGATTATATGGTTCGTCCCAATATAGTAGGGTTTCTTTATTGTCGTGAAACCAATCTGCAGCAATTCCAGAGAGGTATCCAGTTGCAATCTTAATTTTTCTTCGAGTTGCCCAGTTATTAGCGTCAGCTGCACGTTCAAAGGCTTCTATCCATTCGAACGGATCTTCTTCTTCTTCTCCGTAGAATGTTCTAACTCTTACCCAGTTATT